TGGAAATGATGTACACTCAAAATGAAAAGTCACATAGAATAATCTCTATGGAGTAAGACCACCATTCGTTTTAATTACTGCAAGACACCCTCTTCTGTTTTGCACCATGTATCCTTGAATAGGAGATTGACCAATCTGCTTCCACAACTACTGCCTAGATCTTTCCAAATCGCTAAAATTGTGTGGAATGGAGGGGGGGCTTTGAAATTCTTTATAAAAATCCCAAAAGTGTTCAATGGGATTCAGATCCGGCAATTTGGTCGCGCATTATCACACAAGTACCTTTAAGTCAATATCCTTGGGCGTTTAGCACGTAAGTGTGCCGCTTTAAGGATGAATCAGAGAAGGATATGGAGATAACGAACAGTATTCAATATCATAGTAAATAAAACAATACAAAAAAGGAGCAGATCAAACGCGGACCTCCGAAACATCAGATGTGGGATCAGGTGTCATGGAGGAGTGAGCATCCCCTGCTGACTGATCACATCCGCCGTGTGCTCCTTGTCATGAAATAACGGAGAATTCTGCTGTTAATTCAGTGTATAAATAACTGACTAACAATTAGTATGAAAATCAGTCAGCATTTGACTCAATGATAAGTTGTATTTGCTGACAAGGTCATTGTATCGACCATAGAACTTACGAAATGATGACTTTAAACGAGACTGCTGATATTCTTTTTTCATCAACTTGTTTGTCAATAATTTTAGAAATTGTTCAACCTAGAGAATGCTCTAGCGTATTGAATCAACTGAGATATATACACTCCGTATGCAAGTGATGAATGTTATATTGCTGCATAAGTAAGGGATTTGACAATAGAAAAATTAAAGTCATCACGTTTATCATATAGCTCGGATGTTAGATTACCATTGACGTCTTTTTCAAATAAAATATCCAAGTATGACATAGATGTGTCAGACTCTGTGGTATCTTTTATCTCAAGCTCACCAGGATATATCGTATCGACGTAGGAAGGGAAATTACCATTGTTAATTGACAATACGTCGTCGATATATCTAAATGTCGAGTTGAAGGCCACAGCAAGTGTTTTCTTCTTTTCACGTATGAGATTTTGCACAAATTCTGCTTCGTATGAATACAAAAATAGGTCTGCTAATAGTGGAGCGCAATTGGTTCCCATGGGAACTCAAATAGATTGTTGAAATACCTGGTCTCCAAAAACCATACAGATATTGTCAATCAGAAACTCAAGCATCTTTTTTATGTCAACTTCAGAGTACTTGTGTGTGCAATCAAAATGTTTTTTAACAAAATAAATTTGCAAATGACCAATGACCAGGTAAGTAAATTTACGAGTTCTGTTGGTATTGAAAAAGCAGCTGTCAATGATATCAGAAAGCCTGGACTTTAATTTATCGTGGTGAATGGTTGTGATAAAGTTGAAAAGTCGTAAGTTTTTAAACCGTTGAGTTTGGTAAAATCTTGTAATTTCAAATTGTCAAAAAGTTCTTCGGAATTTTTGAGTGTCCACATCTGATTCACACCACTTCTTGAATATATTGTTGCACAGTACTCTTGAAGTTTTTCCTTCACTACTGTCAATATCTTGAGGAGTAACGAAAGAGGCTTGGTTGAACATTTACAGGAATCCGTTATGTATCTTTGTTTGTTAGGATTTTTATGAAGTTTCGGAATCCAATATATATATAGGGTAGTTCAAATTCGTTTTGATCTGTGAAAAATTAAAAGTATTTATGAAGAATTTCTTCCTTAGACAGGGAGGAATGAGTATAAGTAGGATAACCACTTGTAGAATTAAATCCAAGTTCTTCTAAATATAAATTAAATAATTAGCCTTACAAACGAAAACAATGCTGTTACCTACTTTGTCGGCATGGGCCAGTACGCGCTGATCATGTAATCTATCTAATTCTTTTTTCACTTCTGGATCATTAAACACAGAAGGATAGATAGATTTCATATTACCCCTCAATCTTTTTGGGGGGCAACTGAGGGGCAGATTGTTTGGGATGATGTTTGACTGCCACGAGCACCGATTTTTTTAAAAACATAATTCATACGATTGAAATTGTATTTTTTTGTGTCTAAAATTGTTTCAGGACAATTTAAAACTCTTTTAACCTAGTGTGACAAAAAACCTTGGATTGAGACAAAGATCCAGATCACATCCGGTTTGGTTAAATTTTGTCCAAAGCTTTCAAATTGTGATAAATTGGCGATGAAAATGACATACAGGCTATAGAAAAATGTGTTTAAATGGGTTTTGATACTGGTTATTAATTTTTAAAAGGTATATTAAGGACAATTAAGAGCTAAAATAAAAGTAAGTTAAACGTGGTGCAAGGATGATCAAGTTATCAGCATTCCAACGGCTTTCCCTTCTTTCTCAACTGTCATTTTGTCAATATTTTGGTTTTTTTAAGACCAGGGGACATTTGATGATGATCACAAAAAGATGCTTATTACACAAAACACTTGCCTCAAAGTACAGATTTATTGTTTTTAAGCTTCGTCACAAAACATTGGTTATCATCGGTAATATTTTTCAACAATTGATGAGAAGACTCACTTGTTGTAATAATTTGAAAGTATACCTTTCTATGAAGTAGTTTTTAAATAAATGCATTCATTAGTGTGAATACTTAGAAGTTTTGAGTATATATGAATGAAGGACAAGATATGGTAATCTCAGACTCAATAGTACAGTGAAACCTGTGTAATCCTACATGCACTGGGAGTCGGAATAGACAGGTTGTCGGATTGCACAGTACAGTGTTAAAAACAAGGAAAATAGTTATATGGGAAAGATATTTATCGTTGGAATTCAAAGCTAGTATGTCGGATTATTCAGATGTCGGATTAGGCAGTTTTCACTGTAGTCGTAAGCCTGCATCAGTTAAAAAATATCGTGGGTTAAAAATGATCTTGTTTAGGTAAATCAAATGATTAATCCCCTTATAGATACTATGCAAAAAGAAAAAAATAATCGCGAAATTCTGCTTAATCAAATTTGCATTTCTTATTCATAAAGTGGCATGAAAGGGAACTCGTATTCTTTTTTCATAATTACAAAATCTTATTTTTTGCAAAAGAAATCATATAAACAACTTTTGACATTTCTGTATTTGTCTTTTTAAGTGTCTGAAAATTGAACACGTTTTTAACTTTGTTCTGTACAGCTATAAATCGTTTAATTAAGTAATATATATGTGTAAAATTGACTACTGTCGAAAAGAGTTTTACATAATTATAGACAAAGTAGTGTACAAATCAGAATTATCGTTTAGTGGATTGTAGAAGTATCACATGCTTTCAATATTGCCGGAATTTCCGATTTTTTCAATTTTTTATAAGGAGCGTGCACATGATTGTCACTACGGTTGACGTTGACCTTCCGCATTCAAGTGTAACTCTATATATAACAATGGTGGCTAAAATTTAGATACAGTAAGTATTATTTAGAGAACTCGACAGGTTCTGTATCGTAGATACAAATTTGGGGGCAGACGAGTGCGAAAGCACGAGTCTCCGCCCCCAAATTTGTATCTACGATACAGAACCTGTCAAGTTCTCTAAATGATTTGTGACACGATCAATCAAAAATAGCTCCGCCCACTTTATAACTTTGCAGCGTCCAAACTTCCGCCAGAGTTCTGTAGATGAGGCCCCGACGGGGAGTACGCATCCGCAGTATATATATATTTCCACGGAAAACGTAAAATTCGGTCAGATTTGTTTTGACAATTTAACGGGGTAGACGTAATCGAGTGATAGTCAGTCTTAATGGATAAATTGGAGGATTTAACCGTAATTGTTGGGATCTATTGTTATGATTGTAGATGGAGATTTATCATAATTTATTTCAGGGATCTTAAAATCCCGGTTTAACTAGATTTACATAAACAGGATTTACAGAAAATTCTTCGATGGACTTTGATGTCACGGATTTTTATTTTCAAATTGAATTGCGACATTAAAAACGAAGTGAAAGAGACGTGTGGCTGTCGTCAGCGAGAAGGATTTTTTCCGTGGTAGCGAATTTTCCGTTTCGTGTGGATTGTTCAAAATTAGGTACAGAGGATGTTTTCCGTTATTGCGATTTTTCTTTTTACTTTCGATCGAAATTACGTGTAGATTCTGTGTGGAATAAGTTTTTAAAAAGTGATTTAGAAATTTTGACATTCTGCATTCTCAGGAAAATACCGGGTATTTCCTAAAAATTAATAATAGGAAAACATCAGTATTTATTATGTGTACGTGCTAGCTTTGCTAAATTGAATCAGATTTATTTTTAGACCGTGCTGTATTTTAGATACAGAATAGTTGGCAAATGCAATACTGTAAACAAGGCTAATGCAGAACGGAAAGTAGCTCCGCCCACCACAGTCCCGTTCTGTATTGCTAATACAGAACAGTAAACTTCAAAGAAAAACACCGCTATCGTGTCACAAGTAATAATAATTAATCTGGGTTATATCTTTCTTAAAGATTATTTTACACTTTTGTTAGCATCTCCAATGACATTAGTTAAAACAGAATACTTGTTTGAAGGTATTTGTTAATGAACACTTTCAATATTAAATTTCTCTTATAAATATGCATACAATTTATTTTTTAAAATACATATATGGGAGGCCATTCCTATTTAAAAAGTACAAATATGTTTTATGATACCGCGTTTCATTCAGATGGAAATATTTTTGAAAACAATGACTAGAAGAGATTGTACATATTTGTCCTATGCAATGATAACAATCCATAGAAATATGATAGCTTTTCTCTCGAGGAAAACCCACGGAAAGTAGGGCAGGGTTTTCAGCAAAGGACTATTTTTGTGTGTATCATCATTAAAAGACAGGTGCTTATTCATTTTTTTTAAACGGAATAGAATATCATTATTATTGTTACCTTATAAAGCTCTTTTTTCCTATATTTAAACATAGTAGAGTTTCCTTTTATTGACGGCCCTGAAAAAATTAATGTATTTTGTTATTTGAAACATCTGTATTTAATCCTTTCCAACGTCATGCTTATACTTGAAATATGGAGAAAACAATTAAACAGTTGCCAAACTCTTAGGTCCTGGAAAAGATACAAATCATGAGCAGAGCAGACACGTGCCTCTAAAACATCAGACGTTGGATCACATGCTATCGAGAAGTAAGCGTCTCTTTTAATCTCACCCAGTCATGCCAATCCGCCGTGTGTTCCTAAATAGAAAAATTAAGATAATCAAGCTTGCAAACAACGCCAAGAAAACAATATGAAAAATTCCAGTAAGCATTCGACCAATAATATATTACATCCGCCGACAAGGCAACCGCGTCAACTATAGAACTTGCAAATATTGACTTTAAATGTTTATATCTAACTTGACTTTAAATGATCATATCTAGCTTGCTTCATCAACTTGTTTACCAATAGTATAGTTTGTATCTTTTTTTTATTATAGTGTTCTTACGTAGAGTATGAATTCTGTCGCTAGTGCTCAGGGTCTATATAGAATATACAGAAGTTTAAAAAAAAGTTTATATCTTTTATAAGTCACTACTCTATATGAAATGAGCAATCTGAATGATTATTTCATACATGTACTTAAGTCATTTAATTGAAATACAGGTACGAACTCAAAAACAGCCGATTACAAAATGGGGGAAGGTCTTTCTTATCTGTTTGTGGCCGCCATTGATTTAGGAACCACGTTTTCTGGTGTGGCCTTCTCCTCTAGGGATGCCTTCACTAAGGAACCAACCAACGTCTGGTTAAAGACATGGCACGGAACTATTGTCACCTACAAAACTCCCACTGTCATTCTCTTCGATCAGAACGGAGACTTTGATAGTTTTGGTTATGAAGCCGAGGATAGATACACCGATTTGTTGTTGGATGGTGTGGCAGAAAATTGGAGTCTCTTCAGAAGATTTAAAATGTCGCTTTATGAGCAGCAGGTTAGTATTTGTCTTTTACTCTCTGACATACTCACAGACAAATTTTTAAAAGAGTATCTATCACTTTATTGTTCAAATTTTCATATGAAATATATTTATTTTTTATGTTTTCATATAATAGAATACATGTACAACATTTCACTAAACAGAATAATGTCAATATGATGCATTTATGTTGTAGAGTGTATTGGAGAGTTTAGAACTGGTTGCAGATAATGGAAAGAAAATGTCTGCCATGAAAGTATTTTCTGCTTCCATCAAGTATTTAACGGAGCAGCTGACCAAGGAAATTATGAAACAGGTCTCTTACACCACAGATAAAGACATCAAGTGGGTTATAACTGTTCCCGCCATCTGGTCTCAACCGGCCAAGTCCTTCGTCAGGAAAGCTGCCATGATGGTAAAAGTTTTGTTTTGTGGTAATGCAAAGAAATTGAACCTTGGTACTCTTCAAATACAAAAAAAAATTGCAGTTATTTCCCACTCTGTTGAAATTGCTTTCTTGGATGGATTGTAAAGAATTTGAAATTTTATCCGTTTTCAGGCAGGAATAGAATCGGAGATGCTTACCATGGCACTTGAGCCGGAGGCGGCAGCTATATGTCTGAAACATTTACCTTTAGAGAAAAAGAAGATGGGAGAAGTTGGAGACAATTATAGAACCTTCTCCCCTGGATCCAGTTACACCATTGTCGATGCTGGAGGTTTGTACGTGTATGAACAAAATATGTTGAACTTCACAAAAAATGCCATGATAATGTAACATTTATAAAAAGGAGGTTAGGATAATAAATACTAGTAGTTGTCGGGCTCGTAAACTTTGTTACTAAGCACTATTAGCAGAATTTAATTAATCCACAGACTTGAGAAAACATCAGAGGTAATATAAAATATCTAGGAACAGAAGGAATTCCCTATCGACATGATCGACACACTGATCCTAGGTGTCCTGTTTTAATCTTGAAATTGGAAAAATAATTTTAAAACAGTGGTATAACAATTTATTTTAAGAAATACGACCCAACTTAACCCAAGCTTGTTTAGGTTTTGCAAAGACATTCAATATAACGACCCCTCTAGTCGCTTGCCCCTGCTTAATAATAGATAAATTTCCTGTTTGTATTACAGGAGGAACGATTGACATCACAACACACGAAGTTTTGGAGGATGGGAGTGTGAAGGAATTGTTCCAGTCGTCGGGCGGTGATTGGGGAGGTACCAAGGTAAACGATCGCATCATGGAATTGTTTGAAGATGTTCTTGGTACTCAGACCATGTCTGAACTCAAACAAAATCAACAGCTAGACATCTTAGAACTTGAAAGGAACATTGAAACAGCAAAAAGAAGTTTGAGCACACATAGAAGGAAAATGACAATTACGATCCCCGCCGGAATTTTAGATCAGTATAAGAAAAATCATCATGCAGATCTTTCTTCTGTGAAAAGTGCTTCTCTGAGAGATGGAAGAACGATCGAATTTACGTTTAACAGTGGTAAATTAAGACTGGATCATGACTCGAGTTGTTCTTTCTTTGAACCATCAATAATTTCAATATGTGACCATTTGAGGGATATGTTTCAAATGAGCGCAGGACAAGGCATAGATACAATAATAATGGTTGGAGGTTTTGCAAATTGTTCTTTTCTCATCAGAAAAATTTTAACAGAATTTCCAGACAAACACGTGCTTGTCCCCGAGGAAGCTGAATGGTCAGTGTTAAAGGGGGCGGTGATATTCGGTCACGATCCCTGGCTGATTAAGCAAAGACGGAGCAGATACACATACGGGGCGAAATGTAAAAAGCTGTTTAAAGAGGGAGAACATGATCCAGATAAAAAAGAGGAAGAAAACGACAAGGTCTTCTGTCATGATCTCTTTAGTAAGCACGTGGAAATCGGTGAATTGATCACCGTTGGAGAATATCAGACAAATAAAAAATATCGTGTTTCTCATGACTCCATGGCAAGAATACAACTGTATGCCTCTCGGAATCCTGACCCTAAGTATGTGACGGACGAAGGTTGTTTCAAGGTTGGAGAACTGGAAATTTTCAGTCCTAATTTAGAAGTAGAAAGTAAAATCCGCGTTCAGTTGTCTTTCAGTCACACTGAAATCGAGGCTAGATTAAGTCATAGAAAATCAGGAACGTCATCTGCAATTTATCTGGATACGCATTTTTAAGAATCGGGTTACCTCAGTTGTATTTATCACTTTACCGACCAATTTTAGCAGTTCAGAGTTGAAAAATGTATGGTCTTGTGAGTGATAGCGTATTTTTAATAGTAGAAGCACACAAAGTGCCTTTTGCAAGCTCTTAGGTGGCCAGTTTTACTAACATCTAATGTCTCGTTCATATTTTTTATACAAGTATTTTACTAAAAATATTACATATTTATTGTGATATACATTATAATCATTTTATATGCATTTATAACAGACTTGTTTCTGTAATAACAAAATAAAACTAAAGAAATCCAATTTACATGTCGTGAATCTATTCCAGTTTTGATAATGATTTTTTTTTACGTTTACGTAAAACGAGAAATTTTACAATTACAATTAAAATTTTCCATCTACAAACCTCATATAGCCTATATCATAAC